GAACTTCCTGACATGAGCAAACCAACAAAGCCCATTCTTTTCTATACCTGTTCTCAAATTTCCTTCTGCAGAGTTCTTTTCAATCATACTTTCTACTACCCAGCATGCAGTCTTACACACTAAAATGAGAGCTAGTAAAACAAGAGGGACAATGAAGAAATGAACGCCTCTCACCTTGCCCTTTACTCAGCAGGAAGCCACTTCCTAAGAAAAGGTGGAACTTCCTTGGTAAGCAAAGTGTTGTCAGGGCACCGCATCTTCCTACCCTCAATCAGTGAGGATGCAACTACAGAACTCCAGCCTCAAAGGCCAGACACACCCATCAGTCTATGAGGCCACTGCCATAGCCCCAGCTCATGTCACCATTTATGTGGTGTTATTTGAAAGGCAAAGAGGCTCCTCTGTGCTAATCCATCATTGTGGATTCCCTGATGGAGTAGCATTTTCTTCTCCAGGCTTGTTCATTAAAAAGAAACCCCCCTGGGAAGATGCTTAGCAGCAACAGCACTCTTGTTATCCTGCCCTAACATCCCAGTGAGAACTTCTTGGGAGTGTTCTCTGGACTGGAGGAAACAAAGAGCACCACAGAAGCAGGGGTTCGTGGGGGAGCACATGCACAGAGAATGAGTTCAAGGAAGGAAAATTCGGAACTCTACTTCAGTTTTACCAAAATTGGGTGGTGCGGCCAGCACATCTCTACTTGAGGGAAAGTGGTTGAATTAGGTTCCTCATTCACTTCTTATTTTTTGTTAATCTGTACAACTGGAATTACCTAGAACCCTTTTCTGCTCTTCCACTAAGTCTCAGAGACGAGAAACTTTTCTTGGCTTTTGCTATGGGTTTGCTACAAATGTTATGAATAGGAACGAACTGCATCTCAAAGTTCCTTCATTTTAATGTTGTCATCTCACCTTGAAAGGGCAAAAATGCCATCACCCAAGGACAGACATGGGAAGTAGGACTCTTCAAAGACCTTGATCAGATCAGAAGAGTTTCATGGTTGTCTTTTCTTATCCCTCCTCTCCAGACAGTCAAAGCAGAAAGATGAGGACAATAGGCTCCTGGTATTAAGCTGACATTTGAGAGGTCATCGCCTTGAATTTGTATCTCAACCTACACTGTCCTAGCCTCACTAGATAACTCAGGAGAAAGCTAGTGCCACAGTGTAATATCCTTGATTTATTCTACACAAAGCATTTGGTTTGGTAGAACTGACCACAGACAAAAGGTATTTTCTCTTCCCATTCCCCAGAGGTAATTTTTTTTCATGTCAATAATCTACTTCACCAGACAAGAAAATGAAGTTCAAGTTATGATTTGTTCGCTAAATTTCTCAACAAGTGTCTAAAATTGAACACCCCACCACCTCTGTCATTACCATCGCTATCACCATCCTTGCCATGTGCGCACAAGCTCCATCTTCCCCATCACCCAAGCAGGTTGGCCTCATGACTTTCACCATCTCCATCATTAGTGCCAATTAATCATCACCATTAACATCATCAGAATAATGGCCTTAGCAAACCCCAACTGGGAGAGGCCTGCTCCTATCACTGCAGGAATTTCCATATTAAGACTTCCAAACCTGTGAGCTCTGGAATTTACTAATGGAGAGAAACCGTGTTGGAAAAGACCCCTGGGAGAAGCTGGTAGGGAAAGCGTGCCCCAGTCGCCTCTCAAAATATCCAGCAAGCAGCCATTGGGGAGCGTATGCCCGTTCTTTGAACTCCCTCAAAGTACCTTTCATCTGTTCTAAATCCAGGATCCTCTTTGTACAGGGCTTGCTGTTTCTGGATAAATCCTTGGCCCTTGTTCAAGCCCTGGACTGTGTCAGGATGTTCCACAGACCCCAGCAGGAAAGCACTGCTAAATGAGCCTTTCCAGCGGGACCCCTTTCTTGTGACATGGATTCCAAATCCCAGCCCAGGGCGTCTGCTCTCAGCAGCACCACACGGCAGTACTGACATTGCATTCTCATTTCAACTCCCACCTTCCTGGAGAAGGCCCCCCACACCCCCCACAAGATCGTCAGCGGGCTGATAATTCTTTCCTGAGGCACTCTATTTTCAGCTCCATATCATCCTCACGGACTCTTTCCCTGTGGAGCAAGCTGGTGAAACATTTTTTCCTTGCCTAAGCAGTTGCCTCATATCTGACTCAAATCTCTAGCCTGGAAGTGGGGAGAACAAGCCAACAGGGCACCAGGAGGAGGGCCTTCTGCTCTGCATGCAGACTGTACCTCAGTCCTCAGACTTGCTGGGCGAGCTTGAGTTGCTAGCTTCCCTTCTCTGAGCCCCATCTCATCCCTGTTGTTGGAGGGAAAGTGTGGAGTCCCCTGTTTCCTTCCCTGCCTCTGGCAGAAGACAAAGCCTACCTTCCTATGGGCATTACCAAATTAAACACTTTCTCCTGGTATTTTCTTCTCTGGTAGTCATATAATCCGCCACTGAAAGATCTTTCTTTGTAGTTCTTAACTACTAGGCATTCTGCTGCACAACACTGCTGATGTCATAGGATGGCAAAGGTGGTGACCCTGGTGTGGCCATTTACAGGCTATCGAATCCCAGAATTTCTTTAATGGTTCCAGAGAGTTCTCTGATGTTATAAAACCCAGTGCTGCATCTTTCAGGCTCATCAAAAGTGTTTTCACTGAGTTGAATGTTTTTCTTTTTCTGTCTCTGGGTGGTTCCGGAAGGACTCTGATGATCAGGGCCAAGGTAAAAGATATCACCTCAGTGGGGGTCTGTCTGTTGTGGATTATCAATTCCACTATAATCCTTAGACTTCTCTCATCATCTGCTACCATGGCAAAGTCATCATTAACCTTCTTTACAGATAAGCCCAGGAGGCTGAATTTAGACATGGCACTGACTTTCCCATGGGCACACCTGTGACTAATCTCCTAGGGGTCAAGCTTGGCCAGTAGTGCAGATGGACTCAAGTGCAGGTAAGTGAAGAGGTTCCATACCTTGGCCTTCTCCAAACTGAAAGTGCAGCCTTGATATGTTTACATACTCTATGTTTATACAGCAATGCCTTCATTGCTTTTTAACTTAATACGCCACTACACTATAGCCAACTCTGTGAGCAAAGCTAGGTGGTCTTATTCCCATTTTACAGATGAGAAAATGGACCAGAGTAGAGGGTACCTCTTTCAAGGATGCAGCTATCTGGATAGCAGCTATATTGAGACTGGAACGCAGGTGAAGCTGACCAGCCAGAGTTGACCTTGCACTTCCCATCCCTGCCTCGAGTGGAATGAACATCTCTAAATGCAAAATGGGTCTGAAACCAGCAGATGGGAGTGAGGAAATGGAATGGATTTTGAAATGCAAGTGTGCTATGAACTCAGTTAGATATACTTTGTGCTCCGTGAGTCCACAGTCACCCTGAATCACAGACACACTCCAAGACATTATTACTACAAGAGGACTTGGGAGCTGGCTCAAAAAAGCACCTCTGTGGGCTCTTCCTGGTGGCGCAATGGGTTAAAGCACCGCATAATGAAGCTCTTAGAAGCCACTGCAGCATGAATTCGATTCCCAGTCAGGGAGCTAATCTACAATGGCGTGACAGACCTCTCCTGACCCGCCTGCTGCTCCCCTCAGCAGTGTATTTCAGTAGCTCAGCTTGTTCTGCTCCCTACTCTGTCTGTGGTGAATCTTCTTACCTACCATACCTCTGGCCTGTACCCCAGTTCTTTAAGCATAAGTCTTTAAAATCTTTAAAAAAGATAAATAAATCTGAAAAAAAATAAAGCACCTCTGTTTAGGAACATGAAGTGCAATGCCCCTCAAGGTCACTGACTAGTCTCCCTTGAATGCCTGTTTCTATAAACTTTCTTCTCAGAAATTTTCTCCCTCCTTCTGCAAGAAGGATGTCACCTCATGACGGTAGTCTAGGTCCAGGCATTTCATTTGAGCCAGGAGAGCTGGCCGTTAGCCATGGACACAAGCAAATGCACACCCAGCCAAGGAATTTCAGAGTCACCACGAGCAGCACTCGATGAAAGCATCACCTTAGGAGACTGCCACAGCGCCAAAACTTTCACAGGTCAGACCGTGGCCCAAAGGACTGCATTCCAGATGTAAAAATGCCACACAATGTGGCAGCAATTTTTAGCTCTTCATAGTCTAGTATAACTTACTCAGATGACCCTTGGTAGAGGCAGGGACCCAAAGCGAGGGAACATAGAACAGGTAGGTTTTGACTGAAAGGAAGAGTAATAGGGTAGCCCCTGGTCTGAAAAGGACTTTCGAGAAAGGAAAGACTCTGCAGTCTAGTGAACAGCCCTGGATACTTGGGCAGTAAAGGAATCTAGGAGAGAGAAGTGATGAAACTATGCAGACAGATAAACCCTTCTGGGTCAAGTAGTAAAAATTCTTGCAAACCAACTTAAGCATTAATAGCATAAAATTAAATAATGAAACAAGATGGACTTCAATGGCTTAAGAAGCACACAAGCCTGAAGGTGCACTGGCCTCAGGCCTAGCTGGGTCTGCCTGGTTCCAATTGCTTCTGGTTTGGATGTAAAGACTGGCCAGCATTTCTATTCTCACATGACAAAAGCTCGGCATTCCAGCAGAACAATACCTCCTCTTTCTCCAACTGCTGGGGTGGACTCCGATTGGCTAGCATTAGATCACTGCCCCACTTTAATTAAGCACTGGGCACTGACTGGCCATGACCAGATCACATGCTTTACCTAGAGCTCAGTTAGGTGGACAGGTGCAACTTTCAATCAGGAAACTAATTCAGCCCTGGCAGTGCCATCAGCCCCCACCCCCCGCCCTCCCATACACACACACACCTGGTCTCCACAGGCCTTGTACAGGGGATGTTGCATTGCTGAGGCAGTCCTTGGAGGCCAGCCCCCCATTAGCAGCACCTCTGCCATCAGGACTGCCTGGCGCTGTTCCCAGAAATGCCACAGTAATGGGCTCCAGATGCTCCAGGGCCTTGGGTCTCTTACAAGGGCACAAACTGCTCCAGGGAGCCCAGGGCCCTCCCAGCTCTCAGTAAGGCAGTTCCTCCAGAAAGGAACTGTCAAAAAAAGAAAGAAAAAAAAAAGCCATCCAAGTAGCGTTATTTGTTTAATTGTCTGTTGTTTGCTGACTTTCCCCGCTGGTGTAAATATTAGCTCTCTGAGGTCAAAGACTAAATGTTTCCTTTCTTGCTGAACTCCCAGCACAGAGAATGAATGGTACCTGACCCCAGGTATAGCTCAGCAAACGTTTAAGTTGGCACCCTGAAGCATGAAGGGGCCCCAGGCTGTCCTCTGAATTTCACCCTTAGTCAGATGGTCTCCAGGCCAGCTCAACCCAGCTGTGTACAGACACTCACTTCCCCCTGGGTCACCTGAGCACAACAGAGGCACATACAGCTCTCACCCCTCCAGGTCCCAGCTACAGGGACCCTGAACTCCCTTTATCCCACCAGGAATTACTCACACTTTGCAGACATAAAGTTATGCAGCTCTGCTCACATGCCTTGTCCCTGTTGGAGGGGAGAGCTGAGGGCTGCTCCAGGCCAGGTATTCAGAGCCTCGGCGGTCCAGGTCACTGGGCGTCTGAGTGGGGCAGTAGGACATCAAGGGAGCGCCAGGAGCATCTGGGAGCTTGCATGAAAGAAATCCTGCAGGTGGGAGAGGGATGTTGCAGAACAGGAAAGAAAGAGGGGAGATGGCCCATGGAAGCTGGTGCTCCCCTCTCCCAGGCCTCTCATCCCCGTCTCGGAGAAGTGAGAGCTGGGTGAGGGGAGGTTGCTGTCGTCTGCCTCGCTGCACAGACACCTGTAATCATGGGCTCCATCAAACTCACTCTCCTTGCGTGGAAGCTGCTCACCACAGAGAGAACCTCAACTCCAGACGGGAGTTGCCTAGCAACTTAGAGTCCTGAAAAGAAAGCAGAAGAGCCAGACAGGAAAGGGCAGAGGCAAACAGGCTTGGTGGAAGAAGCAGATCATCAGGAGCAACAGCCTGCAAGGAACTGGAAACCCTGGGCAGCTTCTCAAGCCCGGAGGCCCTCTCCATCCCAGCCTCCCATTGTCCTCTCACTCTGTAGGACTTTCTACCAGTAGAGATATTTCCCCTGAATATTTCCTGAAACCACTCACCTCCCTTGAAATGTAAATGCAGGAGGTAGGCTGTCACACCTCAGTGTGGGAGGAATGTATCAGGCCTTCTTGGAAAGGGGAAAAGGGCAAACGTGGAACTACAGTCTGAGCCTTCTCGGGCAAACGTGGAACTACAGTCTGAGCCTTCTCGTCCATCGGTGCCTTCCACCGTCTTGTCCAATTCAGTCCATGGCAGTCTTCCCCCTTCCTGAGTCTGTCCACAGGTACAGAACAAAGATGTGAAGTTTGGGTGTTTGACAGCCATTTGTGAGACACTCAGTGAGCTGCTTACCTCATGGCACCTCAGTCCTATTTAAAATCAGGTTGCCGTCAAAGTTTGACAATATAATGTATTTGAGAGAACCTGGCATGATGTTTGGCGCTTAGCACACATTGATGCTAGTTCCTGAAGACATAATGCAACAGACACTGGGATCCCAGGGGGTCTCTGTGGTCCTCCTACATTGGCGCAAGCAACCAGACCCTAATTTTGGAGGTGAAATTCAGCTCTAAGATTAGAGAAAGCACTAGCATCCAATTTCAGAGCTGGGAAATTCAGTCCTTGCTCCTGGGGAATGCTTCTACCATCAAGGCAAAACCCTGATATCTCGAAGAGTCAGAGAACAACAGGAAGTGGCACAATGTCCTGCTCCTGAATTAACCAGATTGTCCACCATCTTCCTTTTTCCAGGCCCTTGAGGGGATTCTTTCATCGGGTTACCTTTACTGGACCATTTTGCTAAACCTGTGTCAGTACTTCTAGTTCAATCTACAAATCATCATGGCAGCAGGGCCGAGAAGTTGTGTGGAATTTGGTTTGCCATTCTTCAGCTGGTGATAGACCACTAGACAAAATTTACAGGTGAATCCTTGGGCCACAGTTTAAAAAATTAGGGTTTGAGGAGCAGATGGATTTACCTTATGAACTAGAAATCTTGTGTTTTTCTATCCAGTCAGCCATTCTATACTTACTAAGTTAGACAGTAAAGGATACATAGGAAAGAAGAAAATGGCCCATACTTGAGTCTTCTCAAGTAACAGGACAATGAACTACCATCATCCAAACTCTGATAGTCTCCTCTTGCCTGGACAGAAGTGACAGGAGAAGAGAAGGAGGTGGAGGCTAGATAGCAGGTCAGAAGCTCCTAGGCAGAGAAAATTTTTGAAGCTCTCCATCTCCACCCAAGCTAGTGAGAACCAAAATATGAAGGTAATTTGACTTTTTGAAATTTCCTTTCTATACCCAATCAACCCTCAGAAAATGGTACACCAAGGATGGAAGAAAAGTGAAAGACAAGCCAACATTCCAAAGTTTGGAGAATGCTGGAGCTGCTAGAGATTAGACAGGAGAGGAGAGAAGAGGGCCAAACAGGCCCAGCATTGCTTCTACTCCCTGTTGGCATCTGACAATCACATGCCCCAGCTTGGCCTGGAATCTTCATTCACTGTTCTCAAACCTCTGTGCACATGCAAGTGTACGCACGTGTGTGCTGAGGGACGACCCCTGTGTGTGCTTGCCAGGGGGCAAAAGGGCACCACAACACAGGCAGCTGAGTCTGAACTGCATGTGTGTGTGCAAACCCATGTAGATTCATGATGGGAAGCACCCTGATATTTAAAACTGCATATTAAGTAATCAGGCTGACATTAAAGAACTGCTTTGAAAGCCACTAGTTCCTGAAATATTTAGAAATGCCCAGCAATTTTGTTTCTTGAGAGTTCTTTGCACAGGACAGGCGTGTGCAGACCAGTTGTCTGAGATCAGAGTTGTCCAGAGATGATCAGGCTTCCCCACTGTTGTTGTGGTCATATTTCATATGTATATCAGATAGGCTGGTCACCTCTGCAGCGGGTGACCCACTCTCGGGGCAAGACTTAAGCCCTGAGTGTCAGCAGTTTGGTCTCTGTCTGACATCTGATGCTGCAGGGAAGCTCTGGCAGGGAAGGATCCCTGTGTGCTGCCTCTCTCTGCTCCTCACTCCTGTCCCGCCAGACTTCTCATTACCCCTGGGGTCTGACCTCTCATTCCCACTCCTGACCTTTGTCTCTTCTCCCGCTCACCTCCTCAAGCCTTTCGCATCCTGCCTTGGGTGGCTGCCCAGTCAAACTGGCCCTCCCTAACCCCTGCCTGTGCTGCACATGCCAGTCTCCCCTCAAAACTGTGCAAACACCCCATGGGCACGATAGTCTGTCTGGAAATTGCTTCTCCCTTAGTTTTGTCTCTCCAACTGAGGCAGGAGATTATTGCAGATGTGTGCTTCCCTCCTTGACACCTCCTGCCCCGCTCCCATTCTCAGCTTGGGTTAGGCCAGACTGATAATAAAACCCGTTTCCTCAGCACTAACTGCAGCAACCCTGCTGGAAGATCCGCCATTGTGTGGCTCGCAGTTTGTGTGAGCGGAGGACCTTAGTGTTTCCATGAAGCTACTTGCTGTGAATCGTGTAGCTTTGAGGAAAGCAGGGAAAGGCTGACTAACCTCACATTGCAGACGAGGACAGCCAGGTTCAGAGAGATTCACAATTTATTCTAAGGTCCTAGTGGTCAGCTTCTTGGCCTCTATGGCCGATGGCCAGTAACGCTACAGAAACTCTCCATGCACTCAGCTGAGCAAGCCCAGACTGAATTCCCCAAGCCAGCTTCACCCTCTGGGCTGGGGTTTCTCTAATGTCTCTGCCTTCCTGCATATCCTGGCCCCAAGGGAGAACTGCTAGCTAAAGCCATGGCATAAAGCACTGAGAGGCTGTGTTCTCTGCTGAATCTCTGAGATCTGCTATGAGGATGCCAGCTTTGACCAAAGCAAAGATAACAGAATTAAAGTCTGCTAAAAGCAAGGTTAATGTCATTTGATGAGAAGTGAATCTGGGGTCTGCATTGATTGGGTCCTTGCAGGAAAATAAAACAATAACCATCCTTTAAGTACTATAACCCAAGCCTCCCAAGTCCAACTGGAAAAAGGATCTATTTGTGGAAAGCAACTTCTGCCTAGGTTCTGGAACCTGCCTCTGACATTCATCTTTGCCTTAGCCATCCAGATATTCCTCCCAAGATTCTGACCAAAAGAGGACACTGCTCCCCCCTTAGCTCTCTGCCCTATGTCCTTAGGACAGAAAGGGTCACACCCTGGCACTTGAGACATCCAAGGCAAGACTAGATCACCAAGCAAAATGATTAAACAGAAGTATGCCAGGAGGGGAGTGAGAGGAACATAAAGTGAAGAGGTATGGACCTCCAGAAGATTGCCCTGCTTCCAGTTGGAGCGGTCTCTGCTTGGCTGATGCCATCCCAGCCTCCTCCAATCTGCACTGAATCCTGGTGGCTCAGTTTTCAAGAGCACTGCTTAGATGACCCCGGAAAATGATGATTTACAGACCAGCTCAGGTAGACCTGGGACCCCGGCACCTGTCACCACAGTCCTGGCTGTGTGGAAACTCCTCTTATGTGCAAGTGCATCTACCCAGGAACCGAAAGCAGTGCCAGCCTCAACAGTATTACCAACCTCCGATGAAGGTGAAGCCAGTGACATGCACCAGCAAGACTCATCCTGTTCTTGCCTCCCCCTGATACCTCTCTTCTTATTCAAGACTGAAAGTGAAGATACTCGGTGAAGATACTTAGTTTACAGCCTGTTAAATTGGGTTAACTGACCATCTGTTGGTAAAATTTGCCCCACGGCCTATTACATGCACCATGAACATAGAAGCAGTATTGCCCTTGTGAAATATGTAATAGCTAGAAAGATCTCTTATCCATTAGCAAAAACTTAACTAACCATGATTTAAACAAGGAATACCCCCAAGACAACAATGGAGGGCTTTTTATCTTCGAGTTTAGAAATCTTCCAGTTAATTTCCATAGGCGACGCTGACTGCAACATGGTAAAAGGGGAGTGAATCTATTGCCCCTGAAGCCCAGCGCTAGCTGTCACTACTGAGCTGTGAGAGCCTTAAAGGGGCAGCCTCCTGCCCACCTGGGCCTCAGTTTCCCCTGGCTTCATATTTTAATGGTGAGGTACAAACTGTTGCTCTTTCAGAGTACTTGGGGTTCTGGCCTCCTAGTTTGTAGTAATCTACCTTCAGCATCCCCACGAGGCCCATAGCCTGTTTCCACTTTTGGGAACCTGGTACTCCCTCCTTATAAACATCTCAGGTTGTTTCAGAGTTCTTCCTCCTAAGAGTGGACAGTTTACCCTCCCTAAATTCTACCTGCAAAATGACACTAAATGGATGAACAGATATCAGTCACTCAGGATTTAAGTTGAAGCTTGAGCTTGTCAAGCTGGAGGAGTGGACAAGTAGTTCAGGCAGAAGCAGAGAGTTCAATGGAGTCTTCAGTAATCAGCAATACTGGATGTGCAGAGAGCAGGAGTGGAACAGGACAAAACAGTGCAAAAATAGGAGAGAGTTAAAGGAACGGCCAATGTCTGGCTTACAGGAGAGTCTTAAGAAAAGAGGAGCTCACTTCTTTTGTTGCCCTGTTAGTCTCCAGAAGATCAGATCTAATTGATAAAACATTTATAATCGTAATATTAAATATCTAGTATTTGTTCAGTACTTACTATGTGGGAAGCACTTCATACTATTTCATTCAAATGGTGTACCCACATCCTGAAGGAAGAACCAAAGGGTGCCTATTTTACAGATAAGGAAATGAGGCACATGGAGAATTAGTTGCATAAATGTCCATGTTCTGCCTACAAAATTATATGATTTTTTTTTTTTAAATTTCCTTTCTGTTGGCACTAAAGGCATATGGAGATTTAGGATGAAATGTCTTCAGCAGATCTCCTACTTCCTTGCGAAATGAATCAAGCACCCCTCCTCCAGTGTTTTCAAGTGCATGCTGGTTGTTGCCAGGCAAGTTCAAGGGAGAGGAGCATTGAACGAAATCAATGGAAAGTTGTGGACAAACAGACATGGACACCTAGGAAGATGTCCACAGGACAGCTCCCACTGGTCTCTGCTCTCATGTCAGCCTCACTTCTGATAGGGTGGGGGAGAACCTGGGGCTATAGCTTATCTCAAAGGCTCTACATGAACCAAAGGAGGCCGCCCTCAGTCCACTGCTG